TAAGGTCAAGTTCGATTCAACAGTCGTCTTGACGAATTGGAATCTGTCCTTACAGGCCGATGATATTAACGCAGAGGGCAGTATGAACTTCGCGCTGCTCATCAATCTAGTTACATTAGCTCACCGGTTTCTGGCATAAATACTCCATTGCGTGATCCACAGAGTGTTTTTCCCTGTTTTGATTTATACCTGAATTAAATTAAAATTTCCCTGCCCTTTCTTCTCTAACCACGAATGCCATTCACGTTTCTGTCACGATACGTAACTAGCGGAACTAATGTTTAACACAAAATGCCACCAGGTCCAAAATGCAGCATACTAGTCTCGGGGGCATTATGTGAAATTCGAACCATATCGTTATCATTAGCTGCGCTCGAGGTCACATATCCAGTGCTATCGGACTCCATTTTAACTCAGCCTAATCATTCGGTATAACCCTCTCTAAAAGTATTTTTGAATAAACATGCTGTAGCTTTGACACTTATCCAGTTGTAGCTTCCGATAAACTTTGCTGAACTTTTGTTCCGCCTGTCCACACGGTTTTTCTACCATGCAGCGTTGCGGGAACCAATCGGACGGTTGAAGATGTTTGCTTGGCTATGATGAATACAGGACAAAAGGCTTACGTTTTGACCATAGATGTTGTGAAATATGGAACAATAGTACTGGCAGTACTTAATCTGGTTAAAGAGGCAAGTATCTGAATAACTATTATTCGTACGAATGCAAAGTTGTTGGTTTGTGTTGTTACTTACTGAATTTACGCACAGTTCGTGTGCTGTTATTTGTTATCTCTTTGCTAATATCCTACTTATTGCGATCCATTCGACAATCTGACTGGCGATCTATTTCATGGATTATTTTCAGTCGAGACTTCCCCCACTGGACCACTTCACAATACTTGCCATCACAACTTATCCGATGTATTTGTCTAAATAAGTAGCCACATAATGTCAGTATCATAGGCTAGGGTAATTTGAGTTAATCGTCAACATTTGACCGTAAAATAGCACCTCCAAGCCTTATATCAAAAGTGCCGGTCGCAACAGTTCATACTTTCCCACATGTTACCGGCTAATTTGGTCTAAATGGGAGTGATAACCTTACATAAAAACGGAATTTCGATTTTGAAAGTTTTGAAGAGCTCAACCACAAGTGCGCTTTCCTCCTTATTGGACTCAGATCGAATGAGTCAACAACTGGTTTAAAACAAAGCATTTAATATCTGTTAGGAGGGTTTCATTTATACAAGAGGTTAGGTAGACATACTGTACTGTGATAAATTTCTTGAGAATTCAACTGAGAGATTCACAGGTGTGATCCCTTTACAAACGCCCGGTAATTGCAGATAAAAACGGCAGTGCTAGCGTGGATGCGGTTTTTTTTAATACGATGGTACGTTTCCTAAAACCGTCGATAGAATACAAGTCAACGACCTGAAAACTACAGATTCCTCCATTTGGTCGATGGCTAGTTAACTAGTCAGTGGCATTTGAATGATTACCTGAATAAGGCAACGACCAATTAAAGCCAAATTTAACCTACGCTAATCACAGATGTTACTGGTGACTGAAAATACAGGTTTGGGCGACTAATAATGATTCCAATACCTACTAAATAGCGAGTATTTGGACACCTGGTTGTGAAGTGTAAACTCACTCTTGTCAAGTACGTTAGAACGTTCTAGTTTACTCGAAAATACTAGGATCTCACTAAATGATCATCTTGGCACTTACACATATTGGGGGAAGCACAAAGTTTAAACCAACAGGATAGTTTAGGAGATTCGGTACTTTTGCGGCCATAGCCAAACAATTGGGGCAAATTATCCTTTTTTACACAGGTTACCACCTTGTAGGTCTAAGATTGATCGGACGACCCATTTGGATACTGCGCACGACTGAAACACTCAGGCTGTCTGTACCCGATCAGATTACTATCGCCGAAGCTATAAAAGCCTGTCCTACGTATTCTTCTGCACGGTATAGGTTTTTCATCATAATACCGTGTACTGGCGTAGTTTCACCCCTAGAAACGTTTTATGTTGTTTGGTAGCAATTTGCAAAACGTGCAAGCATGAATCTCAGGCGTCAGGTGGGAACAAATGATTAACGGCGTTGTAGTGAGTGTCGGCAGCCATGGTTTTGCACTGAATTCATTGTCAGTTGACCAAAGACGACTAAAGTTCGCGGCTCAGGAAATATTTATTCCTGCATTAACTTCCATTTGGCTTTACTTGGAGCACTAGCCAGGAAGACCTGAACATCTGTATCAAGCTAGAGTGCCTTTTGTTAGTTGAGGCATCGTGTCATTTAGTAATATTTACGATGAAGGTTTCGTCCTTTAACCAAAGTCGCTGAAATACCGAGAAGCAACGTACGGCTGTTTCCGCCTCAAACAGAACAATCAGCAGTTATCATCTAACAAAAATCCAGGAAGCACCGAGTCCTCGACCGCCCGACCAGTAGTTTAGAAACTACCATCCAGCCACAAGCCGAAAACACCACCATACAGCTCTCGGGCTATGGCTACTTCTGGGCTATTAGTTGTCGGAAGTTAGCAACCAAAACTTAGCCAGAACAAAACAAGTCTGGAATTATTAGTTATTACACAAATTTACCAGGTATAAAAGATGGTTAATATTATTTCATGATTTTTACGTCGAATCAACTACTGCTAAACCTCTCTGACCTCAAGCGAACCTCCAACCTCATGGCATACCTGACAAGAGGCAGTAATGTGGACATCCAATTTTCTCCAGTTAATGGACCCGGGGGCATAATTTTGATCTCCTATGACAAAGTAAACGAAGTCACTCAGTACTTCTGTAGTAATTGCATAAGCTAAACTATGAGAAGAGTTGCGTTTGATTGCGATTACCCATAGTTTGTTGACTTGTTCTTGATGGAAGAAAATCTATTTTCTCAAGTAAAGTGAGAAAGAGGCCACAAACAACTTTATTTCACCTGTACACTGAGTGCTCGTTTGTACCAACCTGATACTCCATGTAAGAGAAGTATGTTGGAAATTTCGCCGGTACACATGATACGCAATGCAAAATCGAATCGCTAGAATGGGATATGTTGTGATATGGATATGTCTCTGACAGTTCAATTGTTGCATTCATAACGCGAGAACGCTTTGTTCTTTGGGTTGTTCATTATATGAGGTTTTGTATATGGTTTACCCAGACACATCTGAACATGATGGACAGCCTAATTGTTGCCATAGCAAGGATGCACGTCACAAAGGAACTAGTCTGGTTTGAACTAACTTGTACTGTCAGCTCTCGATGCTCTATCCCAGGGGGTGTGTTTGGATGGACGAAGTGAGTATTGGTTGATTCCGTATCACGCAGCTGTCTCTAAAGCAAAGAAAGAGTTATTGGATGGCTATCTCATCCTCAGCACGACTGCCCCTCAAGTAACCTCAACTATGTTGTGGCGATCAATGAAGAAGGGTGCCATATTATGCGTATGTATTTATTGTGAATAACAACCATAGAATGAGTCGACCGGATTAACATTTCTAATACCGGTTTAGAAATATTGACACGCTGCATGCGTTTCTCTAGTTACACAATCGGATATGAGAACTGTAGATATCTCAGCTTTGAAGAGAGGGTGAAAGTTCTTCAGAGAACCAAAGATGATATTCGCGAAAAACTCCTTTGTCTAGCTCGCACTGCAATTACACCCATCGCATAAAATAGGAAAAACATTATACCGAATGTCAACCTGTTAGCGGAGTGACATACGCCCACCGTCAAGCAAGAAAAAGGACAACAGTTTAATGGGGTACACTGCAAAATATTGATGAGCAATACTTGACTCGAAACACACTATCTGTGTGCTAATTCTATGGTTCGCTTTTCAGGGTCAAGTATTTTTGTCTTCTTGTTTGATATAAAGTGTATACTCAGAGGAGACATCTGTTCTCATTCCGAGAAGGTTCTTGCTCAGGATATGCGGACTATCACTAAGGCAACGAAGATCGCTATATTCTTGCGGCTTTTGCTGAGCGGAAGTTTTCTGATGGCCCATTCGCATGCTACTGCTGGACGTCACACGTTGCACATATATGACATGGCGTCCGCCGTACAGAATACGAAGAAAAAGTTCTGTGTTTCTAAGCTGTGACCGGATTAAACCAGGTTCCAGTACAACCTCGTGACATCTCCCAAAAACCAACTATGTCGTCGACTAATAGCAAAACTTCTGATAACCTTTCACTTCCCCAGCGCAGCTAAACAAGCAAAAGCATGCCTGAGATGTGTTGCTTTCCTTCGGGTTCTATAAACACGTCAGCCACTGGATTCATGAAGCCGACAACGGCACTTGGTTAGCATAGATAATATTGTTGTCGTGAAGTGGATAATCAAAACCCAGAGAATGCAACTGTTTTTTGAAGTGAGTTTCCGCACGCAATTTGAGATCAGAAGGTAATAGAGGAAGTTCTTTCACGAGGGCAGTCCTTATTGTTCAGATCCTTTTATGGTGATTGAACTGCACAGCATACACAGTGCTCCTGATTGATTTGTGGATTTCATTATTTACTAACTTCACCTGTTGCGTGACAAAGTGGTTTTTCTAACATATGCACTCAGAAGGGCCACTATTCTACAGAGCACATGTTGGACAGACCACCGTTTTCCCAGATTCACAAGTATATATATGTATATATAAACCACAAGTATATAGTTTATGGAGAAGTACGTTCAAATCAGTTCTGGTAAGCCGGAAATCGTTTGGTTTGAAGAGGAGAGATTACTTGCACTTTCTAAGCTTGTGTTAGTAATACCCATGGCGTGAACAGTGTATGGAGATTTGTATCCACTTTGTCAGGATCAGCGACAACATTGATTCAAAAAATGGACTATTATTTATTCGTCCACTTTTAGCGGGAATTTATCAAATAAATTGACTGGTTTGGCCTAATCGTATTGTTGTGTATTTTTGACTTTGTGGTTGATTATTCCGAAGCACTCAGTCGACTTATAGGCTCAATTACTGTGACTACTTCCACCCTGAAACAGATGGTTCAATGTTTCGCGAGCCTTGCGGACTACTTCACTTTTGAAAACGTTTTTGAACTGGCTATCTACTCGCTTGCAATTGCAACCACAGTGGACACCAACGGCTGCATGCGAAGAACCGGTTTGAGGGAGGTAAGCGACTTCGCGCTGCAGCAATTTGATACCAATGAGACTACCAAGATAATCCTGTCTTCTAAAGGCTAATAACCTAAAATCTGTGGGAAGATCAAGAACTATTTTATTTCTTGTTTGGTTAAATTAAAGGAATCAATCTTACGGTGTACGCTGAATGTAGAGTTTCTGTCGAGACTAGGGTCCAGCTGAAATGGAATTTTAATAAAGTACCTTTTTCGTACATAGTAATCTTCTGTAAAAGTGTTTTACATTCTGTGACCCACGATTTCTCACAGGCAACTTTCGAAAAACTAGATTTATTGAGAAACGCTTGATGCTGAGCCCCCAGATTATCGAGCCCGGTACTTCATGGAAGCCTGTTTATTTGTACTTACATTTCAAATACTGTCCAGTCAACGATATTCGGGTAGATTTGTTTCACAAAGCTTTCGGCATTTTCACTTCTAGTTACCTATTTCCGAGTTCCGTTAACATGGCTGATACAATGAAGCACTGTCCCTGGTTTCTCCACATCCCTTTTGACATACTGGTCATTATTCCCTTATTCCTCAAGGTTTTCTATGGATTTCAAATTGTCATCCGCTATAAAATATGATTTATAAAAGCCCTTCAATGTCTGTAAATTTACTAAATGTCAGGCTTACCGAAACCAGTTCCGAATCAGTGATTCATTGCTACTTAGGGAGTAGATGGATTAGTAGAGTGAAATTCTAAGAATCATGGTGCCAGGTGGACTACTATTCCAGGCATTTTAGACTGTTGGTAAATCGGGTTCGTCAATCGGTATTCGGTAGGCTGACAATTCTGCAATATCGTCAGACTGGGTCCAGTGAGTAAGACATGCCAAACGAAAGTTGAGATAACCAAAACTCCTTCGTACTTCCCTAAAAATGGGAAGTAGTAGCCGTCCGCCGATTCCTTTGTGACACAACTGAAATTCGACTGTGATCTGTGGAAATATCCGCACTTTTATACGCAAACAAGATAATTAACAGAATAACCTGACATTTGCCGTAAGAATTACAGCATTCAATACCTTCTTTCTTATAGCGAAACACGCCAGCAATATGTTAGACCTGATTCGTGCTAGTACCTGCAATCATCGAGTGCAGACCAATCAACGGTGACCCAGAAGAAAGGGTCAACATGACGAGTTTGCTGAAACCTCTGGTGAATATGACATTTGTAGCAGTTTTCACAAATGACCAATGAAGTTTCATGGTTAGCCATCAGACTTCTCAGGGTTATCATGCCATGAACAAAACCATTATCAATCACTATGTAGCATTACACGGGCCCTCTCGGCGTCAACCACAGCAGGTGACAGTTCAGGTGTTCTGTTGAGCCTGCACCCGCCTGCACTCACACAGCAGTAAAGAACAATGCAGTACCTCTACACCTGATCAGCTGGCGCGTCGTAATAAAAAAACACGTGAAGATAGAGAGCAATTTCTGAGGAACTACGTACGCTGGTGACAAATCCATCAACTCTGCAAGCTAGGTATGTAAGACCGCTAATGGGACCGGATTTTACAGTCGTATATGAAACACGATGACGAACGATGGCCCAGCTTTCCCAGTGTACTTGTTGACTACGTCGTTAAGGTTACCACTATCTATCCAACATACGAAAGATACAAACTAATCCACCAAATCAGGTGCCAGTGATGTCTGACTGGTGTGCAACTTAGGGGAACGACCTGAAATAAGATCCTACACATACCGCAAAACGGCACCGAAGTGGTTTTGACGCATGCACAGTTTCCCATTAGACCTAGGTACTGTGCACCGTGCAAGAGGAAACTAGGCTTTGTGCCACCCTAAGTAAATGAATGGACTGCATTCAACAAGTATACCTCAAGTAAACTAAAAACATCTAGAGAAAGTTAAAACTAGAGATTCTTCCGAGGATACCAAGAAACTTTATCGTTGATAATCACGAGAATCCCCGTGATGAATATGTCACCAGAGCTTAAGTTTGTAATTCACCGATGAATGACTTAGCGCTTGAAATAAAGTAATGTGAGCACTTTAACAAATTTCTGTCGAATTAAACGCCATGGAGAACTTTAAGAGGATGCATACATTCACACACGAAATGTCCCGTTACTCTCATTACTGTGATCACTTGATGTTTCACAGGAACAACCGCACTTTTTTTCAGAGTCACGTGAAAGAGCCAACTGAAGCAGATAAAAATAGACCCCCGTTGTCTTGTTGTTTTGTCTTGTTGCCCTTTTATCTGTCTCCTCTCTTGATTATAACGTGTCCAAGTAGTTAGAACTGATATTTTATCATGTGGACCAACTTTTATTCAACAGGTAACTAAGAAAAATCCTCGAAATTCGAAAGCTCCCTATTTAGTGTTCTGTTGCTTAAATGGAACCTCAACTGAACGATGCATCACTATGGACCAAATGTTCATACAACACAGTATAATTTTCTTCAGTAAAGCCGAAGTCGGTTTCAAGAGCTATAGGGCTGTCATACTACTTAAATCAAACAACAACATTTTTAGCATATCTGCACCTTGGTTGCCTACAATGAAGCAAACGCTTCTGTTTGCTCCGGACATGAAACCTTCCTGGAGCGGTTCAAAATGAAGTGACACAACCGATTTAAAACTTCAAGAGGTGCTTGGTATGTCTATACAAATTAAAAGAAGCAGTTGAAACTTCGAGACAAGTTTGAGGAACTCTGGAGTTTGATCAAGAGGCTTTTCTTCCACACTGCTTCGTCACCCCAGGATGCACTGTGTATTTCATCCACTTGTACCGTACTGTATTGTATTGTATTTATTAGTGCAGAATGAGCAATACCTCATTATCTAGTTACAAGTTGGTTTCAGGAATCATTTTTGCAGGCTTTGTCACTTTTCTCTCGGAACTCCTTAGGATGATAGTTCACGTTGCCTTGAGCTGCATCTGGTTGTCGACCCAGTTAAACAAATCACGGTCTCAGTAAATTTGCCAGTCGCAAGCATGTCATACATGTCAACCAAGCAGAGTTGCTACTTTTTATCATCCTTATATTATTTTGGTTTCACCCTCCTCGTGGTTACCTCTAAGGAGGGAATTTTACCAAGTTTGTAGCTCCTGTTTTGTTCGACCAAGTAAGCCACATGGAAACTTCGCCAATTGGTGCGCAGTGCGTGCGCAGATTTTACGTTCATCACTGGTGTAGCCATGCTCGTTGTCCACTGGATGTACAAAAAACAGTAAGGGCAGCTCCAGACCAAGGTACACCCACGGAGTTGCTCATTAGGTTCATTATCCTCTTCTCATAAACCAACTGTGTATTCCTATCCTTACTTGAAACATTGATAAATAGACATTTCAAGAACCGCAAATGACCTTGGGAAAGCGAACAATTAAGAAGTAACAAGGAAGATGACGAATCTCGCCAAATATTGTCATTGCAGCAGGGATATACCAACTACGGACAATAAATATATGTAAATGTTCATACCCAGCTGGTTACGGCAAAAACACTCCAGCTGTAAAATATAAAGGGTGAATACACTCATTTACAAACAGACTTGGTTTTCCGAGAGACTCACCTGAAACCCAGCTTAATCTCACGTTTATGATGTTTTCAAGCAAAGTTTGTGCAATTTTGGTTCAAGTAGAACATAAGGTTGATGGAAAGTCAGGCACTACACCTACCTGATGAGCAAAACTGGTCGTGGGCCGTTGAACGATCTTCAGCAACCTTATAAGTAGTGTATTCATCCTACGCATGTATCGCGATATCTAGAATATCGTACCGACTGAAACATGAGGTGGCCTGGTGCAGCACATTCCGTTGCTCGAAAACATCATAAATGATAGGTTCACCTGGGTTCCCTGAGAGTCTCCAGAAAAAACAAATTCCTTTGCAAATGGGTGTTTTTCACCAATTTCGTGAAATGCGGGTTCACGTAGAACATGAGGTTCGCGGAAAATCGGAGATTGCACCTACTTGACGGGCCTAAACTAATTTTTAGCAACTTTATGAGCAGTGTATTATGTCTGTGAATGATGAAATTGAAAAAAAGAACAAACTGAAAATTCCTGGTAGGATGAGTCCTCTTCATACGGAATAACACAAAAAAGCAGGGATTTATGTATTTTCCCAAGGCTTTTTATCCGAAATTCACTGACCCTATCGTGTGCAAACTTGCGAACCTTACTCCGTTTCCCATGGGACCACTTTCTCAATAGGCTGCAACCATACCAACACACTCGCTCATTTTAATCACTGTTGGTTCACGTTCTTGAGACAACCGACAAATTATGTCATAAACTTGGTGAAATCACTTAAAATAAGTACCTATCGAATGAGGTGTTTGCCCGATATTCATCCGTTTGGCAACATAGTCAGTGTGTTGATGAACAATGAGTGCTGACAATTATTCTCTGTATACATTTTTAGCCTTGGCAATGGCAAACAGGTACCGCGGGAATTGTGTTCGCTTGGATTGATTTGCTGATGTTTTTCCAAAGAACCACTCCTATTGGAATCTACTTGGGCATCTTTGGTCTCATCCTGACGAACTTAGCCAACCTGGCCGTTGTCTTCAGCCCATTTCTGGTTGCTTTCGCCTTGGCATTTCATTTGCTGCTGGGTAATCAAATTCGATTCAACGATATGCGAAATGCCTTTTCCAGCACCGTATCTATGTTCAGCGGGGAGGTCGGTCTAGCCGATGCAAGTCACGTAATATTCAATTCATCTTTTATCATAGAACTGTGCTAATACAGTTACCCAGAATGCCATTTAACTCTGGAATTATTTGCTGAAACAAAGTTCTACATCTAAGTTTATCATCCGCTCAACAAATTTTTCGAGCGAAAAGGTAACTACTTTAAGGTAAGATCAAAGCGTTTAAAAAACTGCGTTCAAAAGGAACCGGTTGTTTTTCGCACTCACTTGATAAGACGAATTAGTCTATGACGTATAGTCGAGAAGAGCTTTGGGATCATGAACCGCTAGCACATGAGTCCTGCATGATTTAGTGGAACTGATTATGAGATTTCTATTTCTCCCCAGATGTGCAAGGCATATCGATGGAACTTCAGGTTTATTTTCCAGAGCATCTTGGTGTAATTTTGCGAGCACCGAGTGAAATAAAATGTTTTCCAGTCGCACACGTGATCTGGGGATAGCCAATTGTAAGCTGAGTTACTACACAACTAGATATCACGCAAGATGGCTGATGTTCAGTCAGCATTGTCAATGGGTAAGAAGCTCCTTGTTGCTTTTGGGCTCATGAAATCTCTCGAATTTACTGTGCTTCGTGTGATCAAAACTTAAGAAGTGCAAAACTTACTCACCATCTTGGGGTTTCCGAGTTCACTTCGATTGTAAAAGGAAACATTAAGCGAGTTAGTTTAGAGTTATTTATTTTAGATTTATTCTGGTCGCCTAGCACGACCGCTAACTGATTACTACCAGTTGTTCAGTAGAATACCTTACTCAAAACAGAATTTACGGACCTGCAATCTAACCTTATCTCCTTATTTTGTTTTGCTGTTTGTGCATCTCATTCTGTTTTTAAACTATATTCCTAATGTTCTACACTATATTCCATCTCCCCACACCGACTGAGCTGCTGAACATTAGCTGATGTACTCCGTTCTTGTCCTGGCTTCTTTTAGGCCATGTTTAATCGCTATGAACCGGGAGCGTCTCCAGAAAAATTGGTGTATTATGCTACACTGAGCTACCTGTTCTTTCTCACGTTTGTCGCATTTATGTCAATCGCGCTGATGAACATGTTAACTGGTATCGCTGTTGGAGACGTGGAAGCAAAGAAAAGCCAAGCCAATCTGGAAACCGTTCAACAGCTCGTAAGTTTTAGAATGAGCAGAATTTCCACTGATTGTAGTTAAAACGTCGCTGTATTATCATTCAATGAGCTAAGTCATTAATTGTCACATAACCGGAGGAACTTTTAAGAGATTAATTTGAAACCCTGGCTAATTTACTTGAACTGCACAGTTTAAGGCACTCCGGCTGCATCTGTACCAGAAGTTACTGCTTTTATGCATGCCTGCGACTGTACACGTCCTATTCTCAAGCACAAATGACATGTCAAATTTCATTAGTCTGAATATGAAAGAAGTGTTATTCTCGATATCGGTCAAACATACCATAGCTTAAAAGGCTTGTCCATTGAAGCATACTTTAGTTATTGTTACATTCGAACTAATTCGTTAGTACCATACTCAAACTATTGAGGCTCACTTGAAAATAAGAACAGCATTATAAGTTACACAGAAATTCCTGTGAGATGGCATTCCCTGAAGTTAGTATAGTACGCTTGCGACATTTTGCCTTCTGTAACACTGCAATGCAGTCACTACACCTGCAGAAGACTAATATAAAACACTGTCTAAATTCCTTTGTCGTCCAGACTTTTAACTGGTACAGGTTCACATTTTATCTTTTATCCCGACTGCTGTGTGATTATCAGGCTTCTGCACTTTTTCATTCTTCTGCTGCTGTGCGTCTGAAGTAAACCTGTGCACAAAACATTTTTACAATAACTCCGAAGACGGGTAAAATAGTTTTTACGGATTTGCAGACTAATTTGGAATGGAAAGATTTTACTGAATGTCATTAGTCGTTTATAAAAACACCAACTCTATTTGCAGATGGGTTTGTAGATTCGCCTAATCACATTAGAGTGTCAGTATGGAATATTTGGGGACCAGATGAGCCTCAAAAAGAGAGGAACCGGTATTGAGCGGCGAAAGTGTTTGCAGTAACCTTATGAACAGGTTTCGGTCAAGAAAAGTAAGCTTATCATGGCATAGCACCACGTAAAATCTCCAGAGTTATAAGAATTTCCGACTTTTCGAGCAGCTCGTAACTGCGTTACTCCTTCCAGCACATTGTTGCGTTTTTTGCTGAACGTCCGCTGCAAATTTGTCTACTTATAGCCTATCTAACTCGACGCGCCATTTACATGTTAGTGCAATTCACGACACATATCATGCATTACAGTATGACCAAATCTCACATCTTGATTCATTCTTGCATTCTGAGTCTGGAATATCGGGTAAACAAGAGTCCAGCAGCCCATAAAATGCACTTTTTTGTTATCTCGGAGGTCGCATCCGCTAACGTAACCCACTGCTAATCTGATTGTAATTTGTGCTTCACATGTCTAGTTCACAACTACCTTAAAACAGTCGTTGAATCTCGCTGACGAACCTATTGTAATAGTTAGATGATTATGAGAACACTTATGTCCCCTTAAATTCGTCCCGATGTGAGTTTATTTCAACTTGATTATATAAATAGTCACGAAGTTTTGATGATTTGTGGTGATGACATTCTCAACGTGGAAGGCATAGGTTATTTGGCCATTTTACAGTCATTTTACGACCTGTGCCCCATATAAATCTGTGCATCCATTTCATTAATTTATCTGCCTTCTCATTTTAACTCAAACTTCTCCTAGCCCTTTCTAACATTCCTTGCCTTATCTTTGCGTTAAAAGGTCAATTCACTCGTCGACTCTTACACTCTGCTTGATAAAATCAAGCCCAATAGGTCGCTTCGCAGAAAGTACATTTATTTTCCTAACCAGAAGGGTGGAATTCAACGGCAATTGTTTCGCTACCTCTACAGTCATATTGAAAAATCCACCAGAAATGAAGACGTAAGTTATGATAAACTTTTTCTGACACCTAGTTGGACCCTCATCAGTAATGTCCACACTCTAGTTCTTCATCCATTTCTAACCGCAGGTAACATCAGCTAGCCCGTGAGGCTGTCCCTCCAGGAGTGGATTAGTCCAACTTAGAGTTCCTGCAATCCTTTTGTACCTAATAAAAGAAAACCCACATCATCCGATTTTCAAAGCCCGCTGTTTTACCACTGAGAGAGAGATTTATATTGGGGTAACTGAAGCTGTTTTCCATTTTCTAAGGTCGTTCTTAAGTGAGATGCTTTGTAACAGAAATAAAGTTGTAACAAATGCCAGAGCACCACGGACAATAAACCGTTAATGTGAATAAACTGGTTGTCATTAAGAAACCCTGAATATGATCCCACTGTCTGGTTGCAAGTAAAAGAAGCAATCAAAAACATCGTATCATTAAAGAGAGCACGTAGTTGACCGTGACACTTAGGTATTTGTGACAGATAAGGAAACAGGAGAATAACCACCCTCAGTTTAAACCCATCATGAGTGTGCAGGTAAAAGTCAGGCTGCGGTAACCTCAAACCAGCTTTTATTTAGCATATATTAGCACGCAAGTCTTCTGACATTTCGCAGACCAGCTGTTTTCATTCTCTCGTGATAATAAGAGAACAGCTGGACATTTTTAGTGTAAATGTGGTTCAGTGAATGAAAGCATTTTTGTTTAAAATGGCCGAGAGATTTTGCACAGGTGTTTCATGCTTGTGGGGAATCATCCGCAATGCGTCTCTCGCGAAAAAACTGACAGTCTCGAATTAGCTAAGTCCTGTTTGAAAGTTTGAACAGTCAGCTTTCGGCATCGATCATCCGAATCGCAGTGTGGTTGCTTGCACGAAGACAGGATATAGAGCCACTCAGATTTCAGTCACGGAGTACATATCACGTGGCCTCGAAGGATGCCTTCTCAGATGAAACGATTTTCCAACCTGGTTCTTTTTTCTTCCAATGAGCTACTGTAGATTTTTGGTAGTCTGAGGAGCTTCTCGAAAATTTTTGATGCTTTCACCGGCCATGGGACCAAATCAATCCGGGTTTTTTGATACACCTGTGACAAGTAGCAAAACATGTTGAGCGGAGTTTTGTGGCAGAAACTAAAATGGATTCAGATGAACCGAGCCATAAAGAAACCATGATTCATCCCAACAAAAAACATATCTATCAAAGGTATTATTTTGAAGGTGTTGTTTTTATACCGTGGACCCCTCTCCCATAAAAACCGAAGAGGACAACTTTCTGTTTCCCCGAATGAAGTACCGACGACCTGAGAGAAAGCGTTCTACCCCTGTCCCAGGAGTTTACCGTAGTTATAACAGATCCACTAGACCGTCACAAATGAACCGATCAATAATCTTGCCTTCAGTGCACGCATAGGAATGACCTTTGAAGAATTTTGCGAATGCGTCAAAAGCTGAAGATAATAATGCTAAAGCGTAAATGTATACACGGTCATTCAGCGAATTTCGAGTTACAAATAATCGTTGATTCTTAGTTTATGGCCTGCAATGGCATTTTTACGACGTATTATCCCTCATCGGAATCATTATCTCGGCCGAACAAGATTTAAAACATTAGGTAAACAGTTTCATAAAAATTTTCAGTGTTCCTTATTTTGCATTAAACTGAATGAATCGAGGAGGTACAGCAGTTTCGGACTTCTCAAGCATCCACGTCTGTTCCACTATAGTGAAAGTTGCTTGAAACACTCATAAAAAGTTTGCGGCAAGTCTATCATTGTTCATCCTCCCAGGAGGACGAATCCCTGGAGATATCTCAGAGTTGCTCACGAGTAGTTTTTATAGAATGTGGCCGGTTTATTAGTTGTCCTCAGGTGCACATGCGACTACCTGTCTCATGTTTAGCTAGAACAGATGACTCGTATTTCAGTCCGTTTGGGGAAAAGTTATGTTTACACTTTCACCAAAATAATCTAATGCGGTTCACGTGTGTTTAAAAACGAACATGTGTCAATATTGTTGGTAAGTCAGAGGAGCCCAAAAGCGAACCGTCTACAGAAAAAGGCTAGGGGTACATCAGATTATCATGGCCCTACTTTTTTCCTCTAGGGAAGTGACAGTTATGAGTCTGTGATTTTACGACTTTATAGCTGATATATCTATTGGCCATGTCAGGTCTAATGACACACTTTGACGATGACTCCTCACGACTGTATAGCACTTTTGGATACAGAATGGCGAGGAATCCAAATGGAGTTCAAAGGAACACTGATTCCGCTAACTTCCAAAACGACACTGCTTGGTACTGTCTGTTCATCATAGTGAGATACCGTCGAATACATCGCTACCTCTTAGTTATTAGTTCATTACACTTTTACTCTAATTCAGCGGTTCTCACAAGAGTTGTCGTAGAAAAAAGCGGTGTTTCTATAGATATTTTATTTATGTTCCTCAAGCAGAAAGTACATACAGCGAAGTCACTCAGGTTGAAACAATATGTGCAGTTCACCACCCACAACTACAGGTAATGAAATTCTGAGTATCCAAGTAACCAAGCAATGAACACTGGAATAAGTACTTCGCGTAAATCTGTTCTAGTACGGCCCGTTCTGTGGAATTTTTAAGATACACATACAAGAAACATTTTCCCAGATTTAGCTAGGACGATCAAGAAATCTGGCCTCACAAAGGTGTACTGGCTGACACTCTAAGTTACGTGGAATGAGTGTCCTCAGGGATAGTTCTTAGATAAAGAGAATAACAACACCAGTGTCTTCAGTGCCCTGTCGTCACAGAATCACCTTTCCTGCTTCAAGTTCGATAGAAGTCGAAGATTCTTTTTCACAACCTAACGATTCATTAGTTTATCTGACGGGAAAAGCACAATGAATCCCAAACCAATGGGATTTCTTGTAGCTATCTCCAGGAGATTGTCCTGAAGTAAAGTGCTCAAATTGCAACAAGGCGTTAAACATCGGTGCCGGTCATGGTTATTCATGAGTAGTCATTCCCAAGCCATCAAACCATCCTAGAACAAAAACGTTGTGTTAACCTAGAAAGCGTTTGCAAAGAACTAAATAAGGTGAAACGAAATCGACGGCGGCGTCATGATTCCGTAACATCTTTATATCAAGAATCTTTCACCGAATCTTCCATGCCAAAAAAGAAAAATCTGTCGAAATTTTTCGGAAATTCTCTGGATATAGAACCCGTTTTCACTTTACGTGTGTTACACCTGGATATTTAGCTGAATCCCAACTGAATCATTCCATTATGGTATTACTCAGTAGGTAATCTGGGGTCTATAGAGGAAATTGTGCCAGCTAAAAAAGGAGGCAATACTTTGAGGTGAAGAATTCACTGGACTAGGTATTCGACCGGAATTCGCTTGTGCTGTCAACATCTATGTAATTTACACATAAGCTTACTTCGCCACTTACCTTAAATGCAATGCTCAAGAAAAGGACAAGCTTGTTTGAAACTCCTAAACTATGCCTACCGCAAGAACAACGAGCACGGTGAAACCAGAGTGGGCCGTTGAAGATTTTTCAGAAACCTTATGAGTAGTGCCATATCACGACTGTTATTCTTATCATGCGCCGTAGTTTCATTGATATCACTTATCTACTATCAAGCTGTCCTTTGCGAACTAGTGTCGTCAGATGGCAACTACACCTTTGTACATAGTATTGACAAAATGTACATCATGGCCGCAATGTTGATGCCTTTGACTCTGGGTTGAGGCCGGTAGCATTTGGTTCCTGATATTTTTCCAGCCTTACTTCCAGAACGCAAGAGTATGCAAGTTTAAAAACGAAGTCAGCAATATCACGGACCCTCTAGGGAGCGGTGACATATTAGCCTCATTTCCACCAGTTTCAGTGGTACCGGCTATTTAGCCAGATATTCAGCCATTGTTCATTTCTCACGGCTCACTTCGTGTTCTATAAATAAATAAACCACGATTCTTGCTTATCTGGATTAATTACATTGTAATTTCACTGCAAGCAGACCAATATGGCGCCTGGACAAGGTTTCAGAACTAGAGATTGATAATGAATGATGATCGTTCAGCTTCAACACCCTTTGGGCGCCTAGGTGCTATGCCATCCAAAGGAAACACTAGGTCTGGGATACTGATAGGTCACACAAGCCTTGACAGGGGAAGTCGAGAGGTAGAGGTCGGGTTCTAACCACGGACGTTCGTGTCTGTAGATTCGTACTCAAACCATTGAGCTCTCTCACCTAAAGACTAAAGATTAAAGACTGTTCAATATAGAATGGAAAAGAACAATCTAGGCGACCAAAACCACAGTCCCTGGGGGATTTCAACCTTTATCTTTAAAACCCAGGTGGAATCTTCAGTCGTAAGCTGTTATGCGCGGTATAATGTACCTGAGATAGTTAGGAATCGAGCACTGCGATGGCAGCTGCTGATTGAATGAAAGGTATATCAGACTGCCTAATCGGGACCAACTTCTTAGGCCTGTGAGGAAGAAAAAAGGATAACCTTGCGCCTTCAATCTCTGTCCTGAAAACGTTGTACACTGTCAGTTTAGTGCCACTCGGACTTCAAGGCACAGTAGACGTATCGTATGGGTTGCGCGATACACGCTACTCTTTGAGTGTTAGATGGCTTGTGGGACGCGCAGCCAAAATTTCGTCGGTATGAGAGTTAGCCGATTCTTTCACTCAAGGTGTTCTTTAACGTTTTGAACAATGGGGCTACTGGGGGTTCAGTTATCCCGATATTCATAATAATTCCTAATGCACAATATTCTAATCAAAACTCACGAGTGTTGCATTCATTGAGGCCAGAAGGATTGCAACAATCAATCATTAGACCACATCTTCCCTTCAGCGCATTACACTTAAAGCCTTAATTGTCATAATGTGGTACCAGGTTTCATCTTCGTTTACCCTGTTTCGGTCTTCATAATTTAGACGTCAACTCAAGGTAAGCGAATGGAACTAGATGAAGTTCTTGACAAACTCCGAGAAAAAGTTGGTGCGCTCCGCGTGGCCTTTTTCATGCTCTCCGAAGCGGTCGCTGTCTTAAACAGAAATGCAGGATCAGACGAGGAGGAATCAAGATCAAGTGATTATGATACAGACAGTTATGAATAACTGGAATACCAGTAATGGCGCACGACTATAACTGGTGCTTCTCACTTTCTCGTCGCACATATTAGTGATGCATGTGGAGAAATTGGATTTTTGTTTGGCATACGTCCCTCGTGTTTGATCTGTCAAGCGTTTGTTCATCATGTATTCTGAATAACTTATAATGGATTTATTATTTCATGTAGTCTACGTTTAACTCGTAAATGGTTATTTGAATAAATTCAGCATACTTCCTCTTCTGAAAGACTTATGCATTCAACGTTAGCCTATATCGCGTCTGAGTTCGGTGTGAGCATCTGTCGTTCATTTCTGTGATTCCAAAAGGGAACTGAGTGGAAAATTGAAGACTTCATCCGCTTTGGTCATCGATCAATGATTCCAAACTAAGTGATTACTTGTAATTCCAAGCAAATACCTTTAGATTTCCTATGTTGACTTGCCCGGAGCATCCCAGACGACAAGGTGCGCAGCAACGACAGATTGCTAATTTGGTCCAAAAGTATGGGCTTAGCTTGAAACAATAAATATTCAAAACGTGAACAATAAACAGTACTGAGCAGATCAACAGGACAGTGCCGTATTAAAGAGCTGGGAATTCCGTGAATTCTCCACAGTTCCTGATGTCATTTACCCACCCTACAGAACGGAATGATCTGATGTGGTAAACTGTGACCAAAACGACTGTCGAAAATTGATGCCTCAATGGTTACTGGAGAATTTGATCAGGAGGTAGCGTTCGGACGTTCATTCTGAAGAACTAGCGAACTAAAGTCAACTTCAGTCTCTAAATGCATTTTTTCTTTGTTGAAACCTCTAGCTTCATTGATTCAACGCACTTCATCCTACTATCTTCTGCTGCTCATCCTAAGTGCACAGCGCGGAACTGTAACCTTTTGGCTATGTGTAAACTAATTAATGCTAAAAAATGGTTCGTATGACCTCTGAGTCTTCCATAGTCATGTGACAGGAATTAATCGATGCAATCAATCAGGAAATTTCTGGATCACTTCACAAAATCCAACGAGATTCCACCTGGGTTTGGCTGGTAACCAATCGTCCGCGTTCCCGCGCTTTCTAATTTGGTGACTAACCTCAACCGCTTATTCCATCAGTTATTCTTATTCTAGCTACTGACCTGATGATGCAATCTCAAAATCAGCGACGTTCACACTGTTTTCATTGAAATTATGTAAATAGTCAAGCGAGTTCTACCTTTACTTGCAGCTGCTGACAAGCTAGTTTGGTCCAGGCAAACGAGGTATTCAGCTTGACTCAAATGTCATACTCAGATGATTCAGCGCCATTGTTAGAATAGGTTTTGCTTAGATTCTTAGGATGAATTTCATGGACACATCTGCCAGTAACCACAAAGGTTTTCCGCATTCGCCGTCTTGCTTTTTGTCATGATTATTATTACTTTTAAAATGTTGTTCAGATCAGAGCACATTTTTTTCTAGTACAGTATAAAATTTCGACTACCTCGCTGAGTTTTCAGTCTTGGTGTGTTTGTATGGAAAGGCTATATTTTGTCGATTAAGCACAGTGATTTAAAATCAACACTAGCATGATTACTGACTGCACGATATCTGAATGGCGGTTGGTAGTTTAGGTCGGGAACAAATGGGAACCCCATCGAAAAACGAAGGAAATTCTTTACAGTACAAGATGACCAAGTAACTCAAACGATTTTGACCGGCGATTTCGTATCATCCGCTAGCCAACCACATACATAATTTGAAGGAAGCCTCATCAAAGCACCGCGCACTAGCGCTCTACGCTAGTAAAGCTCCTGTACTAGAAGGGTTTATCGTCGGATATTATTCACTTAGTTTGTCCAGTAATACAATTTTCATTGGGCTTTTCAAAACACGGGCACAATGAAACACATTCTACACAATTTGGTGGGAGAAAACAAACGCCAAACAAAGCTAACGTCTTCGAGTCTTCCGAGATGCTGCAACTAAATTGCTTGTTCAGCTACAGTAATTGCTTTTTGCTTGCGACCCTTGACATTGACATCGTGTTCTATTTGCTAATAAGCCCATGCTTGTGTTTGTCAAAACGGATTGTGTATAATAGCTAACCTATTGTTACTGGCTATTATTATTTTTATTACTAATTACTCCGTAATTCCGCAACTGCGTCTTTTGTGCATACATGATGTCCAACTACTTGCAACACATCCAACTTAGAACCCCTTAATATATCAAATCCGGACATATCGGACCAGCATATGTTGTAAACACTAAAATGAATAGTCTGAGATATGATGTGCTTCTCGCAACTTATTACCATACGAGAGGAATTTCGTCACATTTCTTCAGTGTTTTTGAAACTGTACGTAACCTGCTTCATATTATTATTGTTTCGGATCATGTGAGAATTAAATATAGTGGCAACAACCAGTCGCTGTTGTCGTAAGTGTTGGGCTGCGGTGAAACGAACAGGATGTTTAAGGGGCTCAGTCATAGCAAAGTGACACTTCTTAAACGTCGTCCTGTCGCACATATTGTTGTAAACATTGCTTGCAACCTAGCCCTACTACGAAAAATCATGTATATGACCGTGAAATTGTAAACGGAAGCTGTAAATTTGGGAAAGCATTTTGAATCATGGTGGCAGATTGAAAATGTTTTTCTGCAATCAGTATGCCATTTATTTTTCATTTTGCTCTAAGATGCTTCATAACCCACCGAGAGGTAAGTTAGTTCACGGAACACCTTTTAGCATTAACCTGTTATCAAACCCTCGAGGATTTGAGCTATCAAACACTCTGAACAACTTTAAGCCATTTTAAGACCCGAAGACTCTGACAATGGGAATTTATGGATAAAACAATCCGCGGGGTGTGGATTGATTCCCTAGTTTACGCCACTCTTGCTAACATATCGGAAGTGCATCCTGACAGTTATCCGGAATAAGTGTGTGATCGTTTCAGGAGAAGGTATGGAAGAATTGGTTGGTTTGTCCTCCTCATTTGGCACCTTCCAAACCTCGTTGTTTGCTGCACTGAACTTGTGTGTTGGCTGACTTGAAAATGACAGTTTCAGAATGACGCTCACTAGAAGCACACCGAAATTAATTTCGCCGATACTATGGGTCTACAAGGTTGTGATTTTTAAGGAGAGTTAATCCAATCCATTCGCACCTTTCGGTGACATGTTGTCCATAGCATTTTGTTTGTGACCGAGATTTCAAGGTCATGGACCGTCACCTTTTCGCATTTTGTTGCCGATACACACAAGGTGAAGCACGAAATTACACTTCATCTCATCTTGGCGTCCTTCGGTGTTCATTGAGAATAGAATAAAATCTACAGAATATGTAATGCACAGTCCACCCGGGAATCGACGTTTGTTTCCTTTACACTTCTCACATTTATCACAGAGACGATTTTGTTCAGCGAACTTCGTCACAGCACATATTCCTATGGAGCTCTGCTTCCATTAATTACAAAACTGCTCGACAACAGAATGAACTTTGGAGAGGCGACGCAAGGGCTATCTCTGTGGATTATCCCCTTTCCCAAATATGCTTAACCAGACTGTAGATAACGCGAGAGCTGCAGGTAAATTACCAAAACAATGTTGTCATTGCTAATAGGAATATGACAATCTATAGGTGGTAACCGCCATGAAACTGTCACCATAATTACGGTAGCCGTTGTGACTCACCTCGACTAATTATCGTAACTGCTGGGTCCGTGTCCATGTGCGACTCTGATTGTGAGGGCTCCCCTATATACGGCGGCTTAATCCATTAAACAACGACGGCCCTTAGTCATCATCATCATCATCGGCAGCATAAAATCAGTGTTCAACACTGATGCTTCACTGCCGTTCACAGCCCTTAGTACTCATAACTCTACGCTATGTCACTAATCTCGAAAATTTATTGTAACTGCTTGGCCTGTTTCTAGGTGCAACGTTGATTCAGGTCTCACCTACCCACGCTCGCCTAATCCAGCTGCCAACGATGGTCTTTCCTACCCCTTTCCGTTTCCTCCTTTGTGAAATCGCGTTTTCGTCCCATTGCACACAATGCAAACGTGGTCACGTTCTTCGATTTTTTCTGATTTTGCACGAACACGAAGCGGCCAATCGCAATTTTCATTTGATAACTCATGTATCAAAACATTTCAAACTGTCTTCGGATTTTATAATATCTGAGAAATTCAAAATATGTCTCTTGGACTACCATAACTGGATTACTATTTATTCGCTGACCCATTACTACGGAAGAACCTGCCAGCGGCTAGAGAAGCAATTAACAAGGACCATGGGGTGAACGTATATACACAAAGGGACGCAAAAATATGCGTAACGTTTACTGAGTATCACATGGAGTTAAGTTAAACCAGATTCGGTTTGGACATAAGATGTGCATCTAAATTGTTCTTGAAAATGGTTAAACTCGGCGAATGTACAACATTGGGAGGTAGGGAGTTCCAAATGAAACATACGCGGACCGCAAAAAAGTTCCGTCGACAGTTCACCCTCGAGTGAGGTAC